TGGGGAAGAAAGTTCCAAGGAGAAAGAATAATACAGATTAAATACCCACCTGTGCATTCACTCTCTTGTGCACAGCGCGCATGCACGCGCGCGCGCGCGCACACACACACACACACACACACACACACACACACACAAAACCAAATACATATCCAAACTAAGAGTGACAAATCAAACACCTGCTTCCTCCAGCCTAAGTGATGGCCGTTAGCAGGTGGTTCAGAGGTGGGGCTCCAGAATGGGTTTTAATAGCAGCAGCCTGTCCCTCCCTACCCCGTCCCAGAGAGCTGGGGTGCCTAGGAGGTAGGTGGCAACTCTTCCCCACTCTGCCGCAGACGCTTCTTCGCTCGGATCTCATTCATGGCCTCTTCAATGGAGCGTGTGTCCCTCTTGTTGGCCACGGGCACTAGGGGTAGAGGAAAGGGTGGGGAGGGCCTAGGATCCCTGTGCCTTAGCCTTCCCTCTCCTACCCTCGCCAGCCCCCACTGTGGCCTCACCACAGCCATAGGTCTTGTTGGCCTGTAGCATATGGGCTGCATCCTTGGCTGCCCCCTTGCCGATGAGGTGGCTGTACTTGTCCTTGTAGTCACTGGTGGGGCTCACTACCACAGGTCCCTGCTGAGCTGCCTCCTCCTCCTGCCGCTGGGCCAGCTCCTAGGGGTGCAGAAGTGGAGCACTGGTGCTCAGGGACCTGACCCAAACCCCTCCCAGGTGGTGGGCTCCAGGGACTGCCAGGCATAACTCACCTTCAGCTTCCGTTTCTCCTCAGCCTTCTGGGGGTCCCACTCCTCCCCACGACGGTAGGAGTCCAGCTCTTCATCTGAGGGTGCAAACTCCTGGGGAAGAGGGATGATGGCGTCAAGGCTCCATATACATGTTTCATCTCATTTCTCTTCCCCAGGGGGGCATAGGCTGAAAGGGAGAGAGTGGGGAACTCAGGCCTTTTACCTTTTTGAAGATCATGACATAGCGACATTCATCATCGTCCCCGAAGGAGAAGGATGTCAGGCCAGCCACTTCTACCACATCGTGTCTGCGAAGGGCGGGAGGACAGAGAGGAAAGAGTATGTAGAGCCATGAGGGGGCCTCGCACCCTCCTCTTGTGGATTTCCCCACTGGACCTCTCATGCCGCCCTGGCCACCCGTTTCCTGCCTCCCCTGCCAAGACACTCACAGTATGCTTCTCTCTATCTTGTTCATCGGCTGAAACTTTTTCTTGATCTGCCCACTGTCTTGGATGAAATCGGACACCTCTTTCTCCATCTTGGGAGAGGGAAAAGGGGAGAAGATATGAGACGATGGCTCTGCCCCAATCTCCCTCTTCCCAGCTGGGCCAACGGGCCTCTGCCTCCCCACACCTAACCCAGCCTCCATGCCATTGGCTTCCAGGCTTCATGTCCCCTGAGGCATTTTCAAAATCACCGAGTTCTAATTCTGACTTATTGGAAACCCTTCCGGAGGCTGCCTTGATCTCCCCAGTTGTTCTCACCCTTTTACGAAACTCCACTTTCTGTTGTTTCTCTTGCTCCTGTAGTTTCTTCAGGCGGGCAGCCTGCTCTGGGGGTGAGAAATGGCAGCATGAGGCCAGGGCAGACGCATGGGTGGGAGGTTGGAAGGCTTCAAAGGAGGTCTGGTGTCCACTGGGAGGTCTCAGGCTAGGAAGGGAGGGCTGCTGTTTATTCACCAAGCATTTATCGATGTTTAAACCTGGCACTGTCCTAGGCCCTGGAGCACCAAGCTCTTTAAGACATAGCTTTGCCCTTCAAGAGCTCGGAGGAGGAGGAGCAAAGATTAGAATCATGCTTCCCCTCACTTCCCAATCTCACAGGGGAAACCGATTCACAAACATCTCATACCCACAATATACAAAGAACTCTAAGGCACCTGCGGAGGTAAGGAGACCAGACTAAGCCCTGGCCTTAAAGAGTTTATCATCTCATTGTCTACATCGGAAAGGGGAAATTATTTAACTTCCTACCTTTATTTTGTAAACCCCGCCCCTCGAAACTTCTCACTTCTACAGACAAGATGAAGCTGAAATGACTAATCTGACACCATTCTCCTTGGAGAGTGTAGGTGTTCAGTCAATTGTAGAGGAACTTCCCATCCTTACATCTTAATGTCCCCTCTCCTCTCTTCTGTCATTTTAAATCCTTTATATCCTTAAGGCCCATTCCTTCCACAGCATCCAAATAGCTCTAGCTGCACTGACCTCTTCCCATTTTCCTAATCACTCCTTGCCTTTGCACATGTTGTTCCTTCTGCTTGAAATGCTTTTCCTCCTCTTGCAAACTTTGAGATTTGCCATGAGTCAGGGTTACTCACTTCTTCCTCTGGGGCCCACACACATTCGGCTCAGACATCCACTACAGCATGTGCTGAGAACCAATATGTCTCCCCTACCATCCTAGACGCTCTAGGAGGCAGGGACCCTGCTCTCCTCCTATCCGGTTATTCTCTGTGGCCCCTGACAGCTTAGGAGCTCTCACCTCTTTGACATCAAGGGCTCTGACCATCAGTGGCCACTGAGTGTTCCACAACTGGTTTGAGTTCTCTCTGTATCGGAGATGGCAAATGATGATGGTTAAGGTCATAGGCTTAAAAGCCACACCTGGATTCAAAACCCTGTCACTTATTAACCCTGTGACCTCAGGCAAGTGACTGAACTCAACTTTGGCTTCCTAGTCTGCCAGCTGCTGCCGCACCTAGTCATGGCGAGCATGAAATAATCCCAACTGCCAGGTCCATTATGTTCCCTCCTTCCTCAGAGCTTCCAAATACGCATCTGCCTGTAACACTTCGCTCCCCCTCTTACTGAAGCACCTATCCTTCACTTCAGATCCCAGGTCACCACAGGCTAGGTTAAGGGCCCCTCGGGGGTCGCTCTCATAACTATTTTTCCTCACAGAGTACTTATCAAGTTGATAATTAAACTTCTATGTGATCATTTAATCAACGTGCATTCCATCAATGCTTCAGACTGTGGGCTTCGGAGGGTCCCCTGGCTCCTAGCAACCGTTCAGTAAATAATAGATATTTCGCTATTAAGCAGCACTTGAGCTCACTGGAGGCATCCGGCCTGCCCTGGCCCCTAGGGCGGGTGGAAAGCCGGGGGCCGGGCCGGGGCTAGTCTGTGGTCTCGCAGGGTTGGGGGCTGGGTCCTCCCAAGGCACTTCTGTCTGACTCCTTCACACGCCGCAGCACCAGCAACCCAGGGGACGGCTGCACGCCAGGCCGACCGCGCCCTACGCTGGCGGGCGAACTCAGGAGCCCGCCTGCAGGGAAGTCACTCAGAGAACCCAAGTGCCTACAGCCAATCGGACCGACAGAGGCATTTTCTTCTCTCCAATCAACATCACCGCCCGCTCGGAGAACTGGGGAAAGTAAGGCTACAGATGGGCAGGGTAGGAAAGAGGTTAAATCAAGTAGGAGGGGCATAAGGGCACCGAAAGGACCCATCAACCAATTGGAGGTGCTTGAGGTGGGTGGGTGGGCCAGAGGAAGGCCTTTAATAGGCAGGCCTTTAAGATGGCCAATAGAGGTGAAAGGATTGCGGATGGGCGTGTCTTGGACCCAATCAGAATGGGAATGGGTCGTGGGACACTCCGGAGTTGGGAGGGGCTGAGTGGCCGAATACGCCCTCCTGCGACCCGAAGGCGGGTCAAGAAGCACCAAGTTGGGTGGGGTCGGAGGCAATCTACCAATCAGAGCACGCCAGCAGCGGACAGGCGGGCCTCTTGGCGAATAGAAAACAAGGACTGCGAGGCCAGGAAAGAGGCAGGAAACTGGCACTAGGCTTCGGGAAGCCAATCACCGTCCGCTACGAACAGCGGGCGGGTCAGCAGACCTTGTAGGGATTCTGGGGGGCCTAAGAAGGGGCCTTTGAGGGGGTTTTCAAGGTGGAAGAGGCGGCACCGTCTAAAGGAGGAAGAATGCGGTCCTGAGAACCGAATGAAGAAAAGCAGATGTGAATTTGGGATCCTCACCTCGGGCCCTGCGCCGAGTCTCCTGGTCACTGAGGCTGGGTGGCTTTTCCATGGAGCTCAGGATGGAGCCCAGTAGGTCCGCCATCTTGGGAGTGACAGAGACGGGGCGGTGCGTCTTAAAGGGAAGGGCGAAATGCCTTTAAGGCCGGAAACACGTCGGAGGTGGAAAACCTCACACCGGTCCCGCCCAGGCACTGAACTGGCCGGGCGCGCGGCAGCCTCCTTTGCCGAAGCCCCGCCCCGGCCCTCCCCTCCCCCTTAGACAGAAGTCGGAGGCTGGCTGGTGCAGCGATGTTTAATGGCATTTCTTAGAAACTAAGCCCATGCACAAGTAGAAAGTGCTCGTGGGGCCGGCGGAGGCCCCCCACAGCGCCTGGGAACCACAAGCCCGGCCGTGCAGCCCTCCCCGGGCGCCTTAAATAGATTCTTCACTAAACTCTGTATGTTACATATTTACAAACCCCCTCCCATCAGGGGATGGGGTGGGACTCCGCAACGTGTTCCTATATACAGTCTCCCCTGTGGCCCCGACGTTGGTGGCCAGAGTTGGAGTGACGGGGGGAAGACAGGGCCAGAAAGGGAGGAAACGGACGCGAACATGCGGAGTCGGGTTGGGGCACGGTCAGCCCTGAAACACGAGGGGCGAGCGCAGCGAAGGCAGAGGTGGGGCCAGGCCGATACATTCAGAGACGCTTCGAACAAATAAATAAGGCAATTCGGGAAAGGGGTGAGCGGGTGCAGGCAAGGATGGAGCTGTGGGGAAGGGGCAGGCGGGGCTCCGGAGGTCACAGCTGAAGATGCAGGTATGTGGGGCGTGGGTCTTCTGGAGCCGGGGACCAAAAGAGGGGGCACGACCCGGAGGGAAGAGGAGCTGGGGGTGGGAGAGGGAGTTCAGCACTTCGGAGGGGGGGAGGGTAGAGACCTAGGAAGATCTCCAAACAAAGTGACGAGGAAAGCTGCCGACAGGGGGCTCCTCCCCCGAGAGCCCTCTCCCTTCAGACTGCCAGGAGCGGCCTCCGAGTGGGGAGAGGTCAGGTGGCCAGTCCAGGTTGGGGCAGCCCTTCCAGCTCCTGGTTCTGCTTCAGTTCCCTCATCCTGCAGAGAAACAGGAAGGAGTCAGGTGAGATCAGCAGACCAGGGGAGGTGGGTGATGGAGGTGGCTGAGCAGAATCCAGCAGGAGAAAGAATGGGCACCTGTGTCGGCAGCGCCGCAGGAATCTCATGATTTTCCGGGCTGCCTGGTCCTGTTTTTTGGTGAGAAAGGAGCTTCTGGCAAAAGGAAGAAAAGATGAGGAAAACTGACACAACACTCAGGCATCCCGTCCTCAGCCCTTTGGGACCCTCGCAAGGAAGGACTGGGGGCAGGACGATGAGCTGGGAGTTGGGGGGCTATGGGCTGTGGGCATGGATGCAGTGGGCAGGCACAGAGGGCTTGGGGCTGGACCCCTACTTGCTGCGGGGCGGCAGGCTGCCCGAGGGCCGGCGGCGGTAGGAGCGGTAGTGCTGCTGGATGAGCACAGCTGCTCGGCGGCTCTGCTGAAACCGCTTCTGTTCGTAGTAGCTTCGGAACTTGCTCTGGATCAGGATGGCCGCCTGCGTCATCTTCTTATAGAGAGCAAACTAGGAGCGGGGAGGAGAGGCGGGCTGAACTGGAGGGACAGAAACCAGACCCCTGAGGGTCACCCCAAGTTCAGCTGATGCAGGTCTTTCTCTGATCCACGCGCTCGTGGACAGGCTTGAATCACCACAGACAACCTCACACCCGGATCTCATGCCTAATACCTTAAGTGCCATCCAGGTCAGCTTGTGGAGAGAGAAGGGAGTCAGGGTTCCAGCAGCATTCTGGATGCTCTGGGTGGGAGTGGTTGGCTATGCCTTAGAGAGAGCAGGGTCTCACCTGTTTGTACTTCCGGTAACAGCGCTGGATCACAGCTGCTGCTACCTCCTGCTGCTCCTTCAGCCACCGGCCCTAGGGGAAAGCAGGAAGTCTCAGCACCTAAAGGCCCACCTAATAGACATGTGATCTGTCCTTCCAACTTCCCCGAGGTCCCCTGGCCTTCAGCCCAAGGCCACTTTGGATGATTGCTCTCCCTCCCAAAGTCCTGGGAGTCCGCAGTCTCCCCTGACTCAAAGATTGTGTAATTCTTTCCCTGAGACCTCCCAGCCTCCTGACCTTGTACTTTCGGAAGGCCGTCTGGATGACTCGGGCTGCTTCGTACAGTTCCCGCTGCTCATGATCCGACAATGTGAGCAGGGCAAAATCACTCTCCATCTTGCCACTGGCAGATGCAGAGAGAAACTCTGCCCAGGAAGGTGCTGGAGGGACCGCCAGGCGTCCCCGCTCAAAAGACGGTTCGCTGCAGGGACAGGGAGAGGACAAGTCACGGGGCATGTGAAGTCCCTCTTCTGCCCAGGGACAGCCCCAGCAACGGAGCCTGGAGAGCATGGCTTCAGAGCTCAGCCAGCTTCAATGCCCTCAAAGGCCCGTAGGGCCTCTGCCAGAATGGATCTCTGGCTATGGGGAAGCTGCCTTCCCCTTGCCATCTTCCCTTAAACAAGAATCTGGAGGCTTTGTCCTAAGCTGGTCACCTGGGAGGGGCGGCGCTGGGGAAATGGTCCACATTCTCCAGGTAGCTGGCCAGCCAGGACATGGTCTCGCTGAGCCCCAGGGCCCCTGTCCGCTCCCGCATTGAGGCTCCAGCCTCAGGCAGCCCCACAAAGCCCTCTCGTTTAATCCGCTCTGGTGTGGCTTCGATGATCTGCTTGGCCAGTGAGATCATGTCCACCTGGATGGAGAAGCGGGGTGAGCCTTGGGGGTCCCCAGTGACAGATGTTCCTGCCCTGACACAGCTGTCGCCTCGGTCCCCTTCCTGTCTTGTTCCTTCTCTCCCATCGGGTGAGGCCTCAGGGATTGCTGTCCTGTCTCACCCCATCTTTCTCAGCCACTGTTCCAGATTCATTCATTCGTACTTACTGGGTCTCCACCTGTGTTGAGACGTTGTGGAGAACATAGGACAGGGAGGACATACTCCAAATGGAGATTCAAGCTGAGCAATGAAGGATTTAGCCTTCCAGGCTGACTGCTTACTGTCCCACCCAGGTCTGGCCCATGCAAGCCCATCCTACCCCCAGGTTTGGCCATGCCTGCCACCCCACCCCCCTTCAGCTCTCTAAGAACCAGCTCAACCAACCACATGACCCTATTGATGGCTTCAGCCTTGCTTTTGCTCCAGTCCTGCAGCCTGCAGCACTTCCTGCTGGCCACATGTAACACCGCCTACCTTGTGGAAGTCTCCAGGTTTTTGTACTTACAGTGCTACCCTGACCTCTCTAACCCATTAGCCTCTCTAAAGCAGGCATGTCCTCCGGTTCTTGCTGCTATACCTAAAGATTTACTCTGTCATTTATCCCACAAGAGTTTCTTAGCTTTTACTATGTACAGGCTTCCTCCTCACCAAAAGTCATTGCCAGATACCTCCATCTTGCTAAGCTCTCTCTTCCACAACCCTCCCCATTTCCCTCTATGTCTCTGGTTCCCCAAGAAGCTTGTCTCTTCATGGATCAACAGGCAACCCCTACAATCCAGCTCTAACTGAAGATACTCCCCAGAATTTTTAAGCTCTGATGCCTCATGACTCTGAGTTAAGCTCTGATAGAAGTTAAGCAAAGGATTACCTTGCTTGTCCAAAAATGAGGGCCAATAGCTGCTCCTTCCCAAACTGAAGCAAGACTCAGTCTGTTTCATGAACTAGTCGGCCTCCCCCCACCCCTGCACCCCTCTTTCTAGCCCTCATAAATCCATCACACAAGCAGTACCGGGATCACGTCCACAGCCGGTGGGCTGTAAGCGTCCTCTGGAGCAGCCCCTGCATCCAGGGCTGGTGGGAGAGGAGGTGGTGAGGGTGGGGGCCCTTTGGGGTTGGTGGCTTCATAGTCCATGAGGAGTAGGGGGGCCTCTGGGGCACCAGAGGAGAGCTGGCCTGGGGCCATCTCCATAATAATCTCAGAGGCTGGCAGAGGAGCAGGGGGAGGACTTCCATCTGGGGCACTAGAATAGGCTGATGTGACAGAAAAAGTGCCATCGGACAGCTCTGAGGGCGAGGAGACACTGCTCAGACCTGGAAGGTAAGGGGAGAGGGTGAGGGCAGCAGGGGCCATCTGCCATCCTAGAGTCACCTACCTGCCCCGCCTTTGCTCTCAGTCTCCCTGGCTGTCCTTGCTAGTAGGATCTCCCCTTCCCTGCCTCCTCCTCGATTTCCCTCCTCTCACACTTTGTGTCTCCCACTCTTCAGCTGCCCCTGGCCTACTGTCTCACCCACATCCCCCTCTTAAAAAGGTGAGGGGTAACCCTCACCCGTGTCTGGACTGGAGGAGGGTGGCGACAGGGCAAGTGGGGGCTCAGCTGAAGCTTCCTGTCTCTGCAGTTCCTCAAGGCAGCGGGCAAGGCGCACGTGGCCCCGGGAGTGAGCCACAGACAGGGGCAGGCGGCCCAGAGAGTCGGGGATGCTCAGCGCCCGCCGATTCCAACGGAAAAGGAGCACAGCGGCTTCCAGGTGTCCCAGGGCACACGCCCACATCTAAGGAGGGGCAGGGCAAGGGCAGGAGTGGGGAGACAGGCAGAGGTGAGGCCAAGGCCCTTTTCCTGGTGGCCCATCTTCAGTCCCCTGTACTCCCCACTCCCGCAGGCCCTCCCTTCAAAGCACCCTTCCCCTCTCCCGACGCCCCACATGCACTCGGGACCCCAGCACCCTCACCAGAGGCGTGCAAGAGAAATGATCCACGTTGAGCGGGTCAACCTCCTGCTCTAAGTCCAAGCTTCCGGTCTCCACACTTCTGGAGGGTTTGGGGAAGGGACAGCAGAGCCCAGTTAGGGGAAAAGTGGGCAAAGTGGGGACAAGGGAACTGAAGGGACTGGGAAGCCAGCTGTCTAGAAGCACCACAGTCAGTGGGATGAGGCAGTCAGAAAGTAATAAATGTGATGGGGGTGGGGGTGTTGGGAGCGGGTGGAGGGATTGAACAAAAAGGAAAGAAAAAGGGAACTCGTGACATGAACAACAGTGTGGTGATTGCGGGATTGGGGGGAGGGGTGGCCGTGGAAGAGGGCACAGAGGGGATAAATGGTGATGGAAAAATAAATAAATGTAAGGCGGTCAAGAAGTCAGTGTTGTAACTCAGGGGATGTTAAAATTCCTCCCACACAAACCTTCCAGCCCCTCTTCCTTCCCAGTGATTCCAGCCCCCTCTTAGCAGGCTTCAGTCCCGACACTTCCGTTCCAGTGGTTGCCCAGTCCCCGCCCTGCTGCCCCTGCTCACCGCCACTGGCTCAGGGTCTCGATGAGGCGGGCATAGCCCTGGGCAGCGGCCAGGTGCAGAAGGCTCATGCCCCGGAAGGGGCTTCCGTGGGCCAGACGTTCAGGACCCCTCCAGGTGGAGCGTGGGATCATGCTCTCTACCAAGACCACTACCCGTGCCTCGAACCCGGGCCCCTGGCCTTCATCCTGCAATACACACAACCTTATGCAGAGAACTGAGCATCCGGTCCTCTGGCTTGAGATGGCCTTGGCCATCCCATACCTGGCCTCTCAGCTTCTAACTGCCCCTCCGACACTTCTCACTCCAGGTTCCCACCACACAGACCTCTGACGGCCTGTCAGTTCTCCCAGTTCAAGTTCCTGGATGTCCCCTCCTCCCACAGCCAACTTCCTGCAGACCCTCTGGCCGCCAGATCTCACACACCCTGGCCCGTGTTGTGCCTTCACGTCAGCTCAGGTTAGTGCCATATCCACAGGTGCTTCTCCCCTTCAGAACCCAGAGTCCTCTCCCAGTCTTCTTCCTTCAGACACGCAGGACTCCCAGAGCACTGAACCCCAACCTCCTGGTCCCCTCCCCCACCCTCTCCTTCACCTCCACCCTTCTTCAGCCCAGAAATAGTCTGAAGCCTGTCATGCCAAGAGGGTGCCCAGAATAGCCACTCTTGCCACAGGGCGGGGGTGGGAGCAGGTGACGTCAGGGATTAGGGAGGAGGGCAGGCCGAGGGGCTGGGGACGGGGGAGTGAGAAGTCACACACCAGAGCCATTTTCTGCAGGAAGACCCTCCCTCCATCCACCAGGCTCCCTCATGGAAGTACCTGCATTGGAGGCCCGTCAGGACCCTGGCAAGGTGCCTGCCCAGCTGCTGCGATCTCTGCCATCCGCTTCTCCATCTGCTCCAGCCGCTCCAGTATGGACATCCGGAACTGGTTGTCTGAGGGGGAAAGGGTATGGGAGGCTTACGGGCAGGGTCTAGGTGATGCCCTTAACACAGAACTAGACCTATCCCAGGATCTGGGAGGTAAAGACACTGAATCATATTCTTTCCTCTCTCCAAAACAACAGCCCCTTTACCCACCCACCTTTGAAACTCAGTCCTTAAGCTAGGGCTCTTAACCCTACTCATCCACCCAGGACCAGAATCCAGAACCACAACTGTGTCCTTCAAGGCACAGAGACAGGAGGAATTCCCACATAGTATCCAGCCCCGAACTGCTCCAGATCACACACACTCCCTCAGCCTTCCCCTAGGTGAAACACTGTCCGCGCTTGCCCCAGACACTACCTCTGTCCCCCATGCTGGGGCTGAAGGACTCCAGGGTCCCTGCTCTCTGTTAGCCACAGCCCCAAAGAGCTCAGGAACTGTGATTTGAAAAGCACCGCCCCTTCCTCCTGGCCCCCCACAGCTGTCCACAAAGAGGATGGTGGGGAGGGAACATGACAGAGATGGATAGCCATCCATTCCTCCTCCTCCCCTCACCCCATGCACAAATACACACGCGCACACACACATCCCAAGCTATATCTGTCCCCTCTTGAGATCACACAAGGACAAGGAGGAGGGGCGGGAGGGGATCAGAGCCATGGAAAAACAAGCATCGAGAAACAGGCTGGAGGTCAGGGATGTTCTGAGATGCTAGGCAGAAGGGGCTGAGGCACAGAAGTGATGGTGGGGAGGAAGGAAGGTGGAGAAGGATGAGCAGAGACCTTTGTATAACAGGGAGGAGAGAGAGCAGAAAGGATAAACAAGGTGAAGAGAGGAGAGAGAGGACGAAGGAAAGCTGGGGACTGTACCAAGCAAGCAACAAGAGAAGAAGGGGGACAAGTTAAGACCCTGGTCCAAGGAGAAATGAAAGAGGAAGGAGAGATGGTAGAACAGGGACAGGAAAGGAAGGCGAGAGGCAGTCACAGCAGGACAGACAGAACAGGCCTGGGAGACCTGGCAAGATCCCACGGTAGGCTGCGGGCAACCCACACACAGCCCCCTGAAGGGGCAGCTCTGAGGGAGGTGAGCCAGGACGAGCCCTGAGGGAGACACCACGGGGTGACAGCAGAGCTGAGACACCCAGAGGCAACAACAGAGACACCCAGAGGAGAAGACAGAGAAGCGCACACCCTGAGAAAGAAGCAGGAGCCGAGAGAAACAATTTCTCAAAGCCAGTGCTGGATTTAAATAAATACACACTGCCCAGGCTGCACAGCTCAGTGGTTGAGCATCGACCTATGAACCAGGAGGTCATGGTTCGATTCCAGTCAGGGCACATGCCTAGATTGCAGGGTCGATCCCCACTGTGGGGCATGCAGGAGGCAGCCGATCAATGATTCTCATCATTGATGTTTCTCTCTCCCCCTCTCTGAAATCAATAAAAATAATACTTAAAAAATAAATACACACATACACATGCATGTATGCATGTCTGTGTTTGTATAAGAAAGTGTGTTTGTATGAGAAAGTACAGGATGCTATTAAAGTGGTAGATATTACTGAGTAGTAATATCGGCAGTTTTCATTTGTAGTTTGTGCTTTTCTATAATTTCCTATAATAAATACCTATCTTTATGGGGAGGAAAACAATACATGTCTATACACATGTACATACTTGCACGTCCTATATATATATTGCTCTAGACCAGTGATGGCGAACCTTTTGAGCTCGGCATGTCAGCATTTTGACAAACCTTAATCTGGTGCCGTGTCACATATAGAAATTTTTTGATATTTGCAACCATAGTAAAACAAAGACTTATATTTTTGATATTTATTTTATATATTAAAATGCCATTTAACGAAGAAAAATCAACCAAAAAAATGAGTTCGCGTGTCACCTCTGACACGCATGTCATAGGTTCGCCATCACTGCTCTAGACCCTGTCCCTGCTCCCGCCTCTTGGCCTCGCTTGCCTAGATCCCATCCTTTGGGATGGAGAAGACAGAGCAAGAACTGAGACAAACATGGCTCCAAGATGCACAGGGAAGAGGAGCGAAGGGAAGTTTGCTGCTGCATTTAGAAACGACCAGTGAAGCAGGAGTTGAGAAAAGACTGGTAAATGTGGGCTAGGTGGTGGCCACCTGAGTGCTGAGGGGACCTAGGAGTGTCATGCTCCAAAGTTGTGGGGCCCGACACTTGGGATCAAAGGGCTAGCTACTTACCATCTAGTGACAACCAGTCGAGCTGCGTACTAGGCAGTGACAGGAATCGGCGGGCTCGATACTCAAAGAGCACAGAAGCAGAAAGGGGTCCCTCCCGCCCGGCCACCTGCAAAGACACCAGCCCTACCTCATGGGCTGGGGAGGGCAAGGTCAGTGAGGAGGGCTCTCTCCCTGCAGCTCCCTCTCTGGCCCTCTGTGTTAGAGCTACAGCTGGTCATTTCATATTGAGCTTCCCAGCTTCCCCGCTGTGGGCCAAGAGGCTGCTGGCTTCGGTGGCCTTGGCACTAACTGGGAAGGGATTCCATTCATGTGAGAACTCGGTACCTGCTACGGACTCTAGACCCTGTAGTTAAGGATGTTTGTTACTCAGCACCAAGGCCTGGAAGCTGAGGGTCAAGAGACACCTATACTTATAATAAATAATTTGATGGCATAGAAACCCCTTGGTCTCCCAGAATCAGTGTCCAGACGTCATGACCCTGTTACTAAGATGGGAGGAAGGAGAGCCAGCTGCTCACCAACGGTGTCTAGTGAGGGCGACGCCCCAACTATAGCCTTGAAAAGGAAGCCATCAGGCCCTGGTCCCTGATGCACCATCTGTGCACCACTGAACAGGGCTGTTGAGATGGGGAGAACACGCACTGAGAACAAAGCTGTCACCATGTCCCTGGTGAGCCTTTGGGGTCCCACAGTAAGGCTGACTGTTGAGTGCAGGGTAAGGGGCAAGGTTGGTGGCAAAAGGGCAGACACTGGAGGTTGCCCTGGCAGTGACGTCTAGACCAGCACCGTCCAACAAAACGTTCCTCAATGATGGAAATGCTTATCTGCACTGCTCAATAGGGTAGCACCAGCCAGGTGGCTACTGAGCACTCAAAATGTGGTTAGTGCGACTGAGGAACTGAATTTTAAATTTTACTTAATTTTAATTGATTGCAATAGGCACATGTGGCTAACAGTTACTGTATTAGATGGAAGCCAATGTCCTTCAGTCTCAAGATTGGTTGAAGGAGACCAACATCTCTCCCTTTTCATTCTTCCAAGAGCTAGACTCTGGCTTTAAGGCTGGAACAGACATTAAAGACTCCTTGGGTCAAATACCTGACCTTACAGGAGGGGAGGCCAAGGACCCAAGAAAAGGGCAGACGTATCTAAGGTCACTAGTCCAGTAAGGAGTAGATTTCTCAGGCCAGAACCCAGACCTTCTGACACCTAAGCACAGACTCATTTGCCTGCTGGGGGACCATGGGACTCAGCCTCAAGACTAAATGAGGGCTTTGTGCTCTCAGGAACAACTCAACACATTTGTCCCCAGTGCTTCCAGAAGTCCTAAATGCCATTAGTTAGTCCCTTCCCCCACTAGTCCCCATCCCCATACCAGGACAGTAGCAGCGTAAGACACCAGGCTGGACAAGTGACGCGGGCACTGCGATGTGGTCAAAGACGCAGGAGTAATGCTCGGAGGCCTCCGTCCACGGGCCCGTGATGAGCACCTTGACCCCACCCTGCAGACAGAAGTCAGAAGGCCATGTGGCTAGAGCTCTGCTTGGTATTCATTCACTCACTTATTCATTAATGTAGACTCTCAGAGTGTATCTCTATGTGGCAGGCCCTGTGCCTGAGCTTGGTGATACAGGGACTGGACAGGACCCACTGGGGTCAGGTCAGCTAGCCTGTCCCTCCTCCCCAACATCCCCGCCCTCCACCTGAGTCTGCTAGCCTCACCCAAGGCCACCGACTCATTTGCAGATAGCTGTCATCAGGAGGAAGTTCCTTTTTAGGCCCCACCTGCAGGTCCTCCTTTCCCTCACTACGGCAGCATAAAGCAGAACTTCTCTACTAATGAAGACAGTCTTTAGCTTCTCAAAGTCTGCAATCATATCCCGACTATGTTTTCTCTCCGCACTAAGTTGCCCCAATTCCCTCCCTGTGAAAGTCGCCAAGGGAATGAAGTCCCCTGGGCACTTGGGGACTCATACAACCCCGTGGAAGGGGAAGGGAGGGAGAAGGGTGAGTCAGAAGGACTACAGAAACAGGAAAGAAGCCACACTCTGTGGAAAAACAGAGGTTGGAAGGAGAACTAAGCAGCCATGGTAACTAGGCCCCATACCAGGGGGTAAGAGGGGACAGGGATGGGAGAGACTCACCTCTGGGTAGGACCACTCTGGGGAGAAGTCTGTGATGGTGCTAAGAGCAGGTGAGAGCTGGGGGTTGGAGGCAGGGATGCTTGGAGCTTCGTCACTGATGAGTTCTCCCATAAGGTCTGGGAATGATGAAAGACTGAACGGCTCCAGCTCGCTGGCCCCACTAGCTCCTCCAAACAAGGCCTCCCCTCTTCCTACCCTGCCCGATGGCTCCGAGGGGGCAGGTGAGGGGGGTGGTGAAGGAGGGGGTGAAGGTACGGGTGGGGCAGGCCCCTGGACCTTAAGCTCCTCTCCACTGTCATCATCTTGAATGAAGAAGCAGTTTCCTCTCCTCCCACCTCCTACTGACTGTGGAGGGGGACCCCGAGCAGCCGCCTGGGGCTCCAGGGCAGCAGCAGGCTCTAGGGCAGGACAGGGGGTATGGGCAGCCTCTGCCTCCGGGAAGTCTGGGCTTACCCCCTGCCCCCCTCCATATGTCTGACCCCTCTGGGGGCTGTTGAGAAAACGATCAGGGTCAAAGGCAGGGCTGGGAGGAGCTGGTGGGGCAGAGGGCTCAGAGCCGACGACCACTGCCAAGCTCATGGGAGGGTGAGGATCAGCCTGGGGAGCCAAGTGCCTGGTGGGCGTCAAGCCCCCAG